TGGAAGATCAAACAAAGTAGTTTCGCTTTCACGACAAAACACACGGTGGTGGTGAGCGGGCTTGAGAACGGCGCGGCCGGAGGATTCGACAAAGGAGGCTTGCGGCAATCACATGTGACGACCCCGGGCTGGACTCCGCTTCGTCCACGGTGAAAGCCGATCCAGCGATCCACAGCGCAAAGTTAACGTTTTTCCTCAGCAACCAGCACGGATCAGCTCCATGCATGACGAAGCAGATGTCGTCCTCTTTTGGAAGGCCAAACAAAGTAGTTTCGCTTTCACAACGAAACACACAGCGTCTTCACGACATGGCGGCGGCGGCAACAACAATACTACAGCGAGAATAAAAGTTACGCCTTCTTTCTTTGCGTGAACATTTGGGCGGCGTTATGCAAATCTTCCCACATAGTGAGGTAGACATGTGGGGGCGTGTTAGAACGAGCCGTTTTAGGTAGGCATGGTTAACTCTTAACTTTTATAAAGAATATCTCTTTGGATTTGAGACTTTAGTCTTTGCAACTTTACAGATCTCCTTTATGCACCAAGAGCTTGTAACACTCCAAAGAGAAAGGAAAAATTGAAATCGCATCATAGGACCCCTTTAATAAAGGTTTTTTTTATTTTATTTCACAGAGAGTCAACATTTTGTTGCGTCATATGGTGAAATATAAATAAGGAATCTGCACATTCCATACATTTTAATGTCCTCTGACTTTTTTTATTTTTTATTATGAGACCTATTAGATAGGGTTGAATTTAGGTAAATTTGGAAACATTTTGTCATTGAATTGACTGGGAAAAATGTCTTATACTGAATTCACCCTATGTCTGATAAACGGATATCTAACAAAATAAATTCACCTACAACATGAAAAGCCTCTATTTTTAAATGCATTAAATATCTGTATTCCCTTTTCAACTTTATATAATTAAATTCATGCAATGTCAGTGTGTTATTAATAACATGATTGTAAAAAGCAACATTCCTTTTTTATGAACTAATTTTTAATTAATGTTATTTATTTTTTTGAAATAACAAAATGAGACATATCAAGGTTTTAAACATTAGACATTTACCTTAATTTTGGTGACAGGCCTACAAAAACCGCAAACCACAGAAAAATAATATATAGAATATATAAATTAAAATAAAACCCAAGTTTTCAACAGTTTCATATATATATATATATATATATATATGCTCACAAATGCTACATTTATTTGATGAAAAATACAGTAAGAGTAAAATAAAATATATTTTAAAATAAAAATATATTAAATATAGAATAAAAATCATTCTAATATGCTGATATCATTCTAAAAGGCTGATTTGGTGCCCCATTACCCCATTATTATCAATTATTCAATTATTATAGGTGCTTCAATTCATGTGACGGATCATGTGACACTGAAAACTGGAGTAATGATGCTGAAAATTCAGATTTGCATCACAGAAATAAATTACATTCCAAAACATTCAAATAAAAAAAAATATTTGAAA